TGGTTCCCCCATCCAGGTTACCTGGGGCTGTACATCTTCTACGTCCTCACCGTGGTGCTGTGCACATGGATTCACCGGTGGCAGCGGGGTGATGGGCCAGTCCCCTCTGGACCCTGGGAGCCAGGTAAGGGTCATGCCAGCAGGGCCCCTGGTGTGCTGGGGTCTCCATCCACTGCTCCCTCCTCTCCTTTTCCCCACAGAGATGCCAACAGATGCTGAAGAGCCAGAGTCCTCGGGCACAAACAGTGGGGACTATGGTATGTGGTTCCCAGTGGGCTCAGGGCTGGCTCTGCTCTGTCCTCAGGGGCTTACAGGGACCCCCAAGCTGTGATGAGCCCATGGGGCAGCCATGGCCAGGTGCAGGGGCCACGCTGGTGACCACAGCCCCATGGTGTAGAAGGGCTGGGGGTCTGGGGAGCCCCCATCCCACTCAGCTGCCATATCCGCCTGCAGGTGAGGAGTACCGGCCTCTGCTCCCCTCGCAGGAGCCCTCCCTGCACATCCTCACCGACTGCCGAAAGTGGAGGAGGAAGCCGTGGTACTGGCGGCTTTTCAAGGTCCTCAAGGTGAGTATCTGGGGACAGGAGCCAGGAGGAGCCCCTGAAAGGGGTGTCCCCCCTTGGGCTTTGTGATGGGAATGGAGGGACAAGGGCAGGCGGGTTGGGGATGGGTCATGGGGATGGAACATCCTGGGGTCCCCTGCTGCTCGCCGTTCCCAGGTGCCAGTGGAGCTGGTGCTGCTGCTCACCGTTCCCGTTGTGGACCCTGACAAGGATGACCTGAACTGGAAGAGACCCCTCAACTGCCTGCACATCGTCACCAGCCCCCTGCTCTGCATCCTTACCCTCAAGTCGGGCACATGTAAGAGCCCTGAGCAGCTCCAGACACCCATAGAGGATAGGACTGGGGCTGGGATGGCCACCAAAGCCCTGGGGACTGTCGGAGCCCTTTGGAGTACTGGTGAGATGAGGGTAGGGCAGTGCAGAGCCAAGCTGGGGGTCCTGCTTTGCAGGGGGATGGCTCTGTCCTCCCCACAGGGGTGAGGATTTGGGAGGCCCCAGCATCCAGATCCTGAGGGGACAAAGGGGACCTGCCTGGGAAAACTGAGGCACAGAGGGGAGCAACCCCATGAGGCCTTAAGGTAGAGGTGGCATTAAGGGATAAGAGTTTACCTTGTACCATGAGCCTGGTTGGATCCTGCCCCAACCCACTTTGATGCTCCTTCTCCCCTCCATGTGCAGATGGGCTGTACCAGATCCAGGGCATCTTCCCAGTCTGGGGACTGGTCACGCTGGTTGGCTCTGTCCTGGCCATCATCATCTTCGTCACCACAAGCAATGAGCAGCCACCCAAGTACCACTGCGTAAGGTGTCCCCCAGCCCTGAATGCCCACTGGGGACCAGCCCAGCCCGAGGGTGCTGGGGGCAGAGCAGGAGCCAGGACCTCCTTCCCAGTCCCCAGTATCCCCAGGAGGGACATGGCTGGCTGAAGGTGTGCAGGGTCCCAAGGGATGCAGCCAGGGCCCAGCTTGCCCCTCTTCTGGGCAGGTATTTGCCTTCCTTGGGTTTCTGGCCAGCGCCATGTGGATCAATGCCGCAGCCACGGAGCTGGTGAACATCCTCCGGACCCTGGGCATCATCTTCCAGCTGAGCAACACCGTGCTGGGCTTGACACTGCTGGCCTGGGGCAACAGCATCGGGGGTGAGGGCTCTGCTGTGCCCCACTGTCAACCCATGAGCTGGCATCCTCCTGGCAAACACCAAGCTTTCTCCTTTGTCCCTCTGCAGACACATTCTCGGACCTCACCATGGCACGGCAGGGCTATCCCCGCATGGCCTTCTCTGCCTGCTTTGGGGGCATCATCTTCAGTATCCTTTGGGTGTAACAGGAAGGTGGCAGTGGCACTTGAGGCCCCTGGGAAGGAGCTGAGCACGATCCAGCTCTGAGATGCTGGCAGCTTTCCCTATCCCCTTCCTAGTGTGGTATCTCTGAACCGAGGAGCTGCAAGGGTGGAGCCAGCAGTATCCCCCCTGCCCCACTGCTGTCCCAGCCCCAGCAGGGCTGGAACTGGCAGATCTGGGATCTGCCAAAGGGAAGGAGAGGAAGAAGCTGTGCCACCCTCCAGCAGGCACTGGGTGGTCCCTAGACCAGGCTGAAGCCTCTCCTCCTAGAGTGCTCCAGGTTTTACTTGCCACAAGCTTTGGGCTGGGCAACAGCCATGGGGTGCAGGCAGGGAAGAGGGGGCTGGAAGGATGTGGCCAGTTCCATCACTCCCGATGTCTCCTGCTCTGCATGTCTTCATCCTGAACATGCTGCAGACATCCTGGTTGGTGTGGGACTCGGGTGCCTGCTGCAGATGACCAGCAGCCAGCTGGTGGTGAAGGTAAGGCTGCAGTGACACAGTGGCACGGGTCAGGGTGGCAGCAGGATGCTGGTGTCACTCTACATCACTGCCCCTCTCTCCGGCAGCTGGAGCCCGACAGCCTCCTGGTGTGGGTGCTGGCCGGGGCCCTGGGGCTGAGCTTGGTCTTCTCCTTCGTGTGGGTGCCCGCGCAGTGCTTCCAGCTGGGCAAGGCCTATGGCATCTGCCTCATCCTCTACTACCTGGCCTTCCTCTGCGTGGCCCTGCTCACCGAGTTCAGGGTGATCCGGCTCTCTGCAGTGTGAGCAGCCCCACTGCTGGGAGGGGATGCACATCCAGCTCTGCTTCCCAGCTGGATCACTGGGAATCTTGTCCCCTCTCCCCATCCCTGCCAGGGGACAAGGGCACCTCAGTCCCAACTGTGCTGCTGGAGGCATCACATGCCAGCCCTTGGAGGCTGTGGGAAAGGAAAAGGAGCTGTGAAGTCATTAGCTACGTCCTCTCCCTGCTCTGTTTAATCTGTTTAACTCAAGGTGGCTCTGAGCAGGTTAAGACTTCGGCTTCCACTGGTCTTGGTGGCAGAGGAGAAGGCAGCTCCACCCCAGGGCCACAACAGGAGAGGTTTTACCTCTTCAACCACTTCATTTTCCCTTCCCCATCTCTGTCCTGGCTGCTCTGGGCCAGGGCAGTCCTGCTCCAGGGGGTAACACTGTAGGTCTGAGGACAACTTTATCATTGCAAAGGAGGTGATGTGTTCATGCCACAGGTTTGAAATAGCTGAGGCAGAGTGAGATGGGGTTAAGGTCAGCCAAAGCTCCAGGGTAGTGCAAGCAAAGCAGGAACAAAACGAACCCAAGGAGCCTGGTGTCCCCTCTCTTTTTAAGCTGTGTTTTTCAACCTGAGTTTCAGATCCTACTTTCCTCCTCCCCGGGTGGAGAGAGGAGGAAAGTCCTGCTGTAGGGCAGGACTTGGATGTTTCCACACACAGTGTTGGCCTTTAAGCACTGTAAACCACACCAAATTGCAATAAAAAACCCAAACCCACCCTCAACTCGTGCTGTTTGTGTCGAGGGTGTTCTCTCCTGCTCAGGGTGAGTGTCACACAGCCCCTACCCAGGAGCAGGAGCACTGGGAGCTGAGCCAGCAGCAGCAGCAGTGGTTTCCTCTGCGTTCACCAGCAGTTGATTTCCCAACACCAGTCACATGTGCCTGACTCGGCTGTTCCCAAGCAGGGCTGGAACTGCAGTGTCATGCTGGTCCTGGCACAGGTCCACACGGGACACTGCTCTGCTCCCCGGGATGGGGACAGTGGTGGGGTGGCCCCATGGCCTGGGGAAGCAGCACTGGAAAGCAAAGGGCTGTTACAGACACAACCACATCTCTGCTCCATGAGGACAGGAGCTGTTTTGCAAGAGGCACAACTGCCAGACCTGGTTCCTGCTCCTGGATCATTTCTCCTTTTTCTAACCAGATACAGGATTTCACATGGAGGTAACACTCCCTGTGCCTGCAGCTACTGGCTCAGCCCTGAACCTGCTCACAAGTTACTAGCAGTTGCTGGAATTACCCAGGGAGACAAGCCCCACTTCCTTACACACAGCAGGGTTAAAGCAATCCAAACCACAGCCAACGTACCCGTAACAGAGGCACAGGGTCTTTCTAACCTTAAACACTGCACTGGGGTAGCTTTAAAAACCAGGAGTTTGATGGTATTACCTTAATGTTTAGGGAGGAAAAAGGGCAGGGGCAGGGCAAAAGGGAAGCTCTGCAATGTCCAGGAGCAAGAATCCAGGGCACGCATGTGGAATGTGCCCACACAAGCAGTCACCACCGGAGAGGGCAGACACCTCTTCAAACACTGCAAGTGCTTCAGCTGCAGCCGAGCCCCACTTGTGGAATACCACGGGAAGGAGGAAAGGAAGCCGCTGCCTTTACAAAGCCCAGGATGCCTTTTATTAGTGCGCTTGGAAAAAAACCCCAATCTAGAGAACATTTTACAGCTGTGTCCATAAAATCATGTGCTAAACAAAACCAGCATACAAAATCCTGCAGTGCTTCCTCCCTTGCTCCCTACAACATGATTGTCTCTGTCGTTAGTCTGTGTGTCAGGTGGGGAGAGGAGGAGAAATAGAAGGGGATGCCCCGTACTCAAACTTTGTTTCCTTCCAAAGCCATATGGAAGAAGTAAACTGTGACCCTTCTTGGTTTACAAAAATATACAGTCTGTACATGGGGGCAGCTCAACACCTCAGGAACCATGGAAGCAGCACCTGAGCCCTGAACCCCATCCAAGCATTCCCATATCTCCGTGACAGCCCTGTTATTGCATGGCAAGCAGGTTAGTGTCCCCTCAGTAAAGCTGCAGCTTCTTTCACACCCAGAAAACATCCCCCAAAAGCCATCACTGAAAGCCCCGTGAGGAGAAATAGGCTGTAGTGGAATGCAGTGCTTAAACACAGCCACATTTTGTTTCCCCCCTCACCTTCACAATGCTCATTCATTCTGCCCACAACTTAAACCAGCATAAACAACATCTCATCCAGCCCCAGGACTAACCTGGTTAAGTCCCCCAGGCTGCAGCTCCATGCAGAGCAACAACTGCACTGCTCATTAATTTGTGGTCGAGTTCATGGTTTGGAAAACAGCCCTTTAAGGTCCTTCACGGTTCAGCTCAGAAGTACTTTCATACCTGCAGTACCCAGAAAGGAAACAAAAGAGTTGCCCTGAGGCACCCAGGGAATCTGGCAGGGGTTGAGAGCAGATGCTGGCCTGCACACTGCCTGGAAAGCAGCTCTTTCCATCCCAGTGCCCAAATGCTACCACCGTGCTCTGTGCAAGGAGGGAGTTTCAGGAGCAGCTCTGTTCTTCTCTACTTTTGAAAGGCTCATCCACTTAGGAAACGCTCCTGAGCTGCCGGGCAGGACCAGTTGTCTCCTGCTGTGTCCTTGTGCCACGTTATGAGGCTACCAAGGAAAACGCAGGTATGTGGGACAAGGGGAATGGGCACACACAGATCTCCCACTGCCTGATCTGCCTGGAGGAAGGAGAAAGCCTCTCCTGCAAGTTCTACTCTCAGTTTGAACCTGAGGAAAGATCAAACAGCAAGAGGCGAGGGCAGCCTCCCAGCTGACAGGTACTCTCTGTGCCGACAGGAAGAAGAAAAAGGGACTTACAAGAGACAGGTTCTCATCATGCTGTGGGCAATGAAACACGAGCAATGATGCGACCTGCCATGATCACAGAATAAACGTGGCAGAAAGGGAAGGGATCCCTCTTCCCCTTCCTTCCCATCCCTCAGCTACAAGGTCTGGCAGCCTCCTTGCCAGCCACAGAGAAGAATCGCTCTCTTCCGTGTTCCTCCTGCATCCAAAATTCAGAGGAACAGTAAAGCTCTTCAGTGGATCTTCCTAAGATCTGACTCAGTCAGCATTTGCCAGACTGAGGAACATTTCTGCATGGGTAAGAGCAAGGGAGGAGCAGCACTGCTGTGCTGTATGAACAAAGCAGTGACCTGGCTCAGGGCTAAGCAGCAGCTAGCTGATGCCTGTAAGCTCTCCTTAACCCAGAGCCAAACAGAAATAAGTCAGACTTGGAGGTGCAAAACCTCCAATTTCTTCCTCCGAGTCATCTGTCTGAGCTAAGGACCAGCCAGAGATATGCCACTAAGTGGTCAACAGCCACCGTCACCCTGCAGAATCCCCCCTCTGAACAGGGAGAAGCTCTGGGGTTTCCAGGGGCGATCCCAGTCCTGGGCAGTACCACTGAACTGACCAGCAGCAATGCAGATACTGGATAGCTGCAGCAGAGACAGTTCGTCTCCCCAAACTCCTGTCCTACCCATGGTCATAACATGATAAGATGCTGGCCCTCAGTTCTATCTCCAGCTGCCACAGAACTGCTCAGGGACAGCCAAATCTAATCATCAGAGCTGGATCTACTACAGGGGGTGCATCTAGGTGTGCCAAAAAGGAGGGGGAAGGCAGACTGCTCTTCCAAAAGTGCTGAAATTTCACATAACCTCTCCTTCTTTTGCATAAGGAAAGGTGGAGAAGAAACAAAAGCTCACTCCCTGATCTTTTATTCCTAGGTTAATGGTACCCTTTAAGCAAAAGAGCTCTTTAAAAAGGGCAAAAGTTTTAATACTAAGCAGGTGGCTTCAGCACATTTCCTGCTGTTACTGGATTACACATCCCTTTCCCCAAGGTCTGTTAGTGGTAAGACAAAGAGCAGGCTGGAGCCTGGGAAGTGGCTCAGGGGGAGAAGGTCTGTGTTCTGCCCGAGCTGCTTGCTCTGTGCTGAGCATGACCATCATGCTCAGTCTGCGTGCAGCAGCCTTACACACAGTCCCCCGGGCCTCTGGTTTTCAGCAATTCACTGCCTAGGGGAAGAGCTTGAAACCCTAACGCCAAACACTGAACAGATCTATATACACCATCCCAATATATACGCTGTGAAGTAATACTCTAGGTTATTGCATAGAAGGTGGCTTGCATTAGCTAGGCCTAAATGACAGTCTGGGATCGTTGTCGGAGGCTCAGGGGCTTCAGAGAGCTGTTGGAAGCAGATGCAGGCTCTTGCAATGGTGTCTGAGTTTCCTCTTTTCTGGAATGCTCCTCATACCATTCCTGCAACAGGAGATCAAACACACCGAGATCAGGCTCTGCCCCACCCTGGCCCTGCAGCCCCCCAGAGGACCCCAAGGGCAGGGTGGTTGGCTGCTTTGCTGTGTGAGGGCACATCACTTCAGGCAGAGGGGCTCATCCCACAGCCTTGGACATAGCCTAAGCTCCTGGAACAACCTGGTGACCTGCAGCATGGCTGTGATGGATGCACCAAGACCTTCCCACCCACCACCCAAGCAAGAAGCACCAGCTACAGTTGGCTGAACTGATAAACCTGAGCAAGGGAACATCCCTCTCTCAGGATGTCCCTCCTGAACGTCTCTAGTCTTGATGTCTGTGGGATGTTTGGGATTTGTGGAGTTGCTCCCAATCCCGGGCAGTATGTTATGAATCAGAGTCCAAGCAGAATGGGTGGGGAGCTTCTCTGCAGATTTCCATCTAGCTCCATGGTAAATAACACGTTTAATTTTATGAGGGGTTTGAAGACTCATCCCCAAGCAAGCTGCCCAGGGGTCAAAGGACAGATTTAAATGGGTACAAGATTAATTCTTTCAGTACTAATCATTACATTAGCCCATGTCCTTCAACTTGGAGGTGAATGTCTGGAGAAGACTACAGTGACTAAAGCCATGGCATAAAGCTCCTGACCACGAAGGGCACTAGGAAGAATCCCCTAAACAATCGGGAGAATGACCCGATTTAAGTGTTTCCCATCTTTGTTAGCTTGCTAAAGGAAAACCAGGCAGCACTGCTCACACCATCTGCCTGGGAGAACACTTGGTTCCTGTGTCAGCCAGACACACCCAAGCTCAAACACAACCACATTCCAGGGGCTTAAATTCACCTGCAGCAGCTGAGCCCCAGGAACAGAGCACACGTGTGCTCATAGCCCCAGCAGGCACGTCCACCTCAGCGAGTCCAAGCTCAGTGCCTACACACCTCCTGACTGCATGGATACTGGGCTGACACACACCACACTGGGCACCTCGACACAGGCTCTGACATGCCCTGAGGGTTAAAGAAGCCCCTGAGCACAAGAACTAGTCAATTTGGAGCACACTTCATCTACTGCCCACCCTCCATGGTTGCCTGGGTCTTGGAGCAAGGAGGCTTCTGGTGTTCAAAAGGCTAGTTTGTTACTCTAGGTAATGTTTGCCTCACCAGAGAGACTTGCTGGTATTTCCAGCTCAGGCCCACGTACCTGAATCTCCTCCTCATACATCTTCATACTCAAATCACTCTTGGTCCTTGATCTGCGTCCCAGAAACACTGTTGACATTTGCTAAAGCGTTGGGGGAAGGAGGAGGAGAAACAAAGAAAAAGACATTCATTAGTCACTGAGGAGCTCACTCGATCAGGCCCTGGAACTTTAGGCATCCTTCATGCAGACACCAATCACCCACTGAGGAGCTCAGGCTATCCTGGGCTCCTTCTGCTGTTATGGGAAAAAGGCATTTTAGGGGGCACATCACCTAAACAAATGCAGGCATCTACTGCAGGCTGAGACAAATCCCACTGAGCAGATCCCCAAAAGACTACAGGGGGAGCTGGGCCTCAGACAGATGTGTCTGTCAGTGGTGCTTAATTTAGCTGGATGAACATAACATCAGTGCCTGGAACAAGGCCTCAAGCTCAAGCTTCCACGTAAGATCCTGTCTAAGAACAATCTCAGGTCCCACTTGCCTAGACCACACTTTTTACTTCATAGGCCTGGACTTCTTAAAGCATGTGCACAGAGAGCTGAAATCTTGAATTACTCTCTGACCACAGGTTATATGTGCAGGATTGAGAAGCAAAAGATGTCATCATCATTCTTTACTCCACTGCAAGGCTGAGGGCAGCATCTTCCTTTGCTTTATTGTCTTGAAAACTGCTTCTGATCAGTTTCATCATGGCTGTTCTGAATTTTGTCTGTATGAACAAGAGCTCAGCCTTTAACTAAGCCAACCAAAGCAAATAAAGGTCAGCTAAGAGACTGGAGCACCTGCATTTTATAGTGGTGATATAAGAATATAATGGCTGTTATTAAAACAACCACTTAAGCTCTTCCCAGATGCATGAGACAACAGTTCTGAGGCAAGAGGTCAGCTCACTTTCCAAACTGTCCATCCTGTTCTAAAACAATGTAAGCACTGCCATGGTGTTTGTGGAATCAATACCATCATATTGCTGCATAGTGTTTTGGGACTGTCCAAGCCTAAGTGTATGATGCACAGAGAGGGGAGCAGAATTACAAGACAGTGGCTTTCTTAGGGAAAAATAAACATACTTTTTTCCAGTCAATACTGGGCCAGGACAGCTCTAAGCAAAGTCTGCAGGCAATAGCAATGAGCCTTTGTCTTTGTTGAGGCTGTTCAGAGCATAGGGGAAATTCAGCTGCTACTTTTCTAGAGCAGCAAAACTTTGTGCCCATGCTGCAGAGCCCCTCCAGTAGCTCAGCTCTCAACACTACAGACACATGCAGTGCCTCTCAAGACAGCATTTGTGGCCCTGGCACGCCTCCCTCCCTTGGAGCTGAGAACTTGCACTAGGTGTTTCCTCTTACCCCGTATTTGTCCATCTGCAAAACGATCTTCTGCAGCTGAGCTGTTTCACCAGCAGCTGAAATCCGCTTGTACAGCTCGATGATGCCAATCACTTCCTCCTTGGAGATCTCCTTCTCCAGCACAATGCCATTGTCTTCTGGAGAGGCAAGAAAAAGAAAGAGAAGTCTCCAAGATGAACATTGCTCCATCAGCCACTATTACAATCCTGGAAGGCAAAGCTTAACAGCACACAGGACCAAGCCAGATGATCAGGCACAGCCTGTACCTGCTTTTGTGACCAGAACATGTATGTCCTTGTCCCCCACTAAGGCAGGGAAGAAGTTAACTAGTGTGTAGGGCCAGCAAGCACCTCAGCTTTACAAGACATCAGGCTCCTCAGCATCTTGTAGCTGTTCGTTTGCCTGTAAATTAAGTAGCAAAGCAAATAATCACATGGGAATTGTTGCCTTTTGACCTTCAGCTGCCTGACCCAGCTTGGGAGTTCAGTGCTAACAAGTGTCTTTCACTGCACCCGTCAAACTGGGTGCAGGAGAAATCACAATGGAAAGTGTTGTTGTAACTAACAATTCCTGGCACCTAAGAAGGATGAGGGGCTGATCAAAGATACTCCTGTGGCTGGGGCCTCCATCACTTTTCTGTGGTAGATTCTCTGGGACTAAATGTATGACTGCAGAATCTCCTTCCTGCACAAAAGGGTCAAGAATGATAAAGATTAGTCTGCACAGAGAATGACTAGAAAGGTCTGGGTGTAGCTCACCTGAAAGACTGGTAAGAAAAGGGCTGTGAGAGATTAGTGTGTTTATGGCACCTAAATTAGCAGGTCATGGAGTAACACACAGCTTCAGACAGCCAGCTCAGGAGACAAAAGACAGTAAAACTGCTGACTCACAGGGGTGAGGGGATGCAGAGACCAGTCCCTGCCAGTTCCTAAAAGGGACAGGAAGGCATGTCCAAAACCAGCATGTAGTCACCAGCCTAAATACAACTGGGACATGTGGAAAGAACAGCACAGGCAGCGTCCATTGTCCTCCATGTCACGGCAGAAAGTGCTGGTAAACCACTTGGTTTACCGGCATTTTAGTGCTGGTTTATCAGCATTTTAGTGCTTGAATGCTCACAGGCCACTTGGAGACATGTTCTGGTGCCAGTGGGTGTATTAGTGAGGAAGGAAATTGGTTTAAAGAGAATAAAAAATCCCCTTCTCCTCCTGAAAGGTCTCTTGTTGAACTTTGCTACATCATTGCTCTTATGTTTCCTAGATTCCTTTCCTGAAATGTGGCAGACTTCTACCTTCAGATAAGTTGCTTGAAATGGCTCAAGTATTTGAGCCATGTTTCAGCCACATTTCAGCCATATTCTGACCTTCTGAATCCTGGTTCTTCCGAGTGTAGTTCATGCGGAAGACAAAAGCATCCAGAATAAAAGCCACAATGATGGTCATCACCACCTGGGAGAAGACATGAACAGAAGGGATCAGGAGGCTGCTGCTGCGGGGGTTCTTCCAGTCCAGTTCAACAGGAAGCTGAGCATTTGGTCTGTGCTTCAACTCTATGCTCCTCCATGCACAGATGCACATGTCACACATTACCTGTGAGTAAACTACTAACAGTCAACTACAACAGGGACATGCTGCCCTCGTTCTTACCCCAGGCCCAGATTTGTGCAGCATCAGCTTTGTCAATACCCCTAAATTCAACTTTCTGCAAGTGATGTGGACTCACACCTGTTTCTGGAAGATGTTTAGGTAGAAGTGCAAAGCTGTCCTCATTCAGGGATGGAAGCTCCCTCTGAACACACTAAAGCTGTCTCCCTTCCTCATTCCCACTATTAGATGCATGAAGCATGTCCAGAAACCTACCATGGTCACAATATAGAAGATCATGAAGTAAAGACGGCTCCAGTGAGTGGTTTGGGATGTCACCCCTTCCTAAAGAGGAGAGGGAAGAAGTCAGTAGTGCACAAAAGAAGGGGGAGTCTGCTGTTAACTGCTTGCCAACAGACATAAAGCAGCATAAACACTCTCTCATTCGTGGCTCTATAGCTAACCCCAGGAACTGCCTTCACAATGCTCAATGCCCCAACTGGTCCTTGCAGTTAATCTGCCTCTCAAGCTAGATAAAGAGGTTTCTGTATGTGATCACACAGATCATTTAAAGCTTGAGGCTGTGGGAGATGTTGCTGCTATGAGAACACATCATGGGCAGCAGGGTGACAAGCTGGAATACAGTGTGACATCATTTGTGCAGATTGTGAAACCTGGCCTGAAGGCTGGTCAAGATTCATGCCCAGCATTGCCAGAGGTCAAATGCCACCCAATGATCAGGACCAAAAGATGTCTGGCAACAAGCGACAACGTTGGGCCTGTCTCCAGTCACCAGGGGAAGACAGCAGTGGTGGCCTGGAAGATCTAACTCAACTGGCCAAGAGGCTGAGCTGTCCATACACACAAGGTAGCTGAGGTTTACCTACCATGATGATGTACCAGTCATTGACGACCGTCAGCTCAAACAGCGTCACTGTATACAAGTGGGAGAAAAACACAGACAATTGCTTCATCCATCCCTGACCTACTTTACAGTGATTCTTAGACAAAGTATTTGACACGGAAGACTGAGGCAAGACACCAAAGTTTAAACACAGCCAGGAAATCCAGAGGCAGAACCCTCATCACTGCTATTACTTCAGACAAAGAGCATTAGATCTACAGAACCAGGAGCATGGCTTAACCTGTATTTCTTAAAAGAATCAGAAACAGACCTGACTCCACCAGAGAGCACAGAGACCTCTGAAATCTCCAGAAGATAACCATCTCTGCTTATACATTAAGAAAAATCATGGAGAGTAATCAACAGATTCTAATTATTCTTCATCAGTGGGTTTAAATAAATGTGTTAGCATCACTATTGGTTCTTTAGAAGGGTAGTGACTTAGAGCCCTCCTTAAACATCTCTGGAAGTCTGGTCTGATCACCAGTCAGAACAGATCTGCTGGCTTCACAGTGGCTTTTAGGAGACTCTACTGGCTTACCCTGCGAAACAGTCATGGCACAATTAGCCAGCTGGAGTTCTCCAGACAGAGAGAGCAGGATGCTAAGTGTTTGAGCTGCATTAGTTGGACTCTGGGAGAGTCCCAGGCTTGTATGAGCATTACAGTCCTGCCATCCAGCTCTGCAGGAACACAGATGCACCAAGGAATAGGCTTTGCTACAGACAAAACTGCCCTTACCAAAGCTGTTCAAAATGTTGTCAAAGTTGTTGAGATAGTAATAACCTTCCTCCACAACCGTCCTGTTGCCAACTGTATGATTCACCCAGCGGTAGGCATCTGCAACTGTGCTTGTGCTGGTGGGAGAAACCAGGACAAAGAATGAGACTGGAAAAGCAAGGAAAATCTCAAGGGTTATAAATACCAAAACACTTAGAAAGCGCTGAGCAGCAGTTTCTACCTCTTGGCCAACACTTGCCTCTTCCTCTGAGAGCAAGCCTCTCTCCTTCACAGCTCAGCACAAACCCAGGGAGCACATGAGACTTTCTAATCACTCAGCAAATATTATAAGAGAGAAACTGAGTGTTTGAGTTAGACTCCTTGGCTCACACCCTTAAAGCTTGGTGTTTCCAAGTGGTTTGCCTTCATTTAAGGTGAAAAGGGTACAGGACAGCTTGGCTTCCAAAACCAGGCGAATTTAACTCAGTACGAAGTGAGGCCTTACATATGTAACATGTCTGGACAAGCAGCTCTGGCACCACCAAGATAAAAATCTTCACTCTAGAGCAGATGTTACAAGAGTTTCCAGTCACAGCAGCATGAAGAAGTGCAACTACCTGAAGCAAGTTAGAGCTCATTAAAACCAGCAAAGCTACCACAGAAATCTCTCCCTTTCCAAGTACTTTCAAAAGCCACTTCATCCAATCTTACCTAGAGAAGTGAAGTGTCTCCTAGATTTTCACATCCTTAGTAGCAAAACTCCATTCAGACCCATTCTTTGGCCCATTCTCCACAGGGAGATAGAGCTGCCAAAGCTCACTGCTACTGGCTATGCCCCAAAACCACTCCAGAGGGTGGTAGATTTGCACTACTTACTTGCAGCAGTTCGGGTAGACCACGCCAGCAAAGAACTCCATGCCAACAATGGCAAAGCAGTAGTAGAAGATCAACAGGGTTAAACCCAGACTGAAGGCAAAAACAGAAGGAGTACTGTGTTACTGGAGAGTTGTTAAGGCAGGGAAACAGTTGCTCTGGAAGGAATTTTCAATGGATGGGAACCCCAGACCACCCTCCCTGTTGCTGTGGCTCTGCAGTTCTTTGCCTGCTCTCATTCAAGAAGTCCTAGGACAAGGAGCTTGCCACTCACTGAAAAGAAACTGAAAAGCAGCCTGGATTCCCTCCCAGTCTGTCTTTTTCTGGTAAACAAATGCCTCTCCAGTTTCTTTAGCAAAGAACACCACACACTGTGTCTGCCCTCTCCATGTCCTTGGATGCAGGGACTGTGCCAAGAACAGGGTTCTCTAACACACTCTGCTCAGACCTCCTTCAGGAGAATAAAGTCTGAGGATGCCCCACTCAAACACCAAGCTCCTTCTACCCCACCATTTCACAATAATGCTCTGCAGTGGTTATACTAAACATCTGGGGCTGAGTATATTCATGCCAATGTTCCTCCCAATTGGGCCTCCCCTCTCACCAAAAGCTGGGGTGGGGGAGTAAAATTAAGCATTGGCTTGTAGTTATCCACCTAACACAAAAGCAGGAGGAGGCTCAGGGTGCTGGAGTATTGCTTATCACACACTGTGCCAAGAGACTGGAAGATTAACACCCCACTGCAGCACCCTGAGGGATCAGTAACGATCTACTGACAGATCAGAGCAGACAGATCAAATCTTGAGCAGGTTTGACAGGTCCCTATCTCAGACCCCAGCCCGAGACACGAAACCCTCCCTGCCCTCTCCCCACTATCACCAAAGGAGAAGTTAGTACCTGGCCATCCGGGGGAACAACTCAAACATAGTGTCCAGCACATTTCTGTAGCGTTTCTTCAATTTAAATAGCCTGAAAGAAGAAGCCTTTAAAGGAGAAGCTTTTAAAGGAGGAGTTCCTACACACAGCAACGTTCCTGTGGTGGTGGGTATCACAGTTCTCTGTACCTCCCAGGTCAATGAACAGCGAGGTTTCCTGACACCAAACTCACAGGATCTGCCCTTTCTGCTCACCTAACAGTGTCCCACTGTCCCATCTGAATGTTTATGGCACATCCAACTAAGTGTTTACAGGACTGAGGAACCTCCAGGAAAAGTCGAGGTCTTTTTACACAGCATGATGCATAAACAGCTATTTAAACAACAATAAATTGTAAGAACTAGTCCTGTGCACAGGGTCAGGATTCATTACTCCTTCCCTCAGACACAAGCTGTCCTGTGCTTCCCCCATGACCCAATAAAAATGGATGAAAGAAAACTACATTGTGCTAATGTAAGAGTTGGCAACTCCATCAGCCTTTACAGAGAAACACAGCTGCCAAGCACAGACTTTGGCAGGGCAGCAACAGAGAAAACAGTATTTTTCCCCCCCTCCTCTCGAGTGTCATAAAGGCTTCTTTAAATCCTCACTGAAGAGCTAAATTACATGAGTTTGGTTTTAACAGAACAACATTTTTGCCTCCAATGCCTTCCCACTATGACTCTCCCACTGTTCTGCAGAGGTACATCCCAACAGCCTCGATATGAGAGGGTTAATCAGACCCAAATAACTCAGCTCCAGAGAGGTTACAGGCCACAGTCTTGCTTCAAGAGTGAGATGCAGTTAGAGCAGGGCTGCACTTCACCCTAGAAAGCAGCATCCTTTTGAAAACTGTAATTTCTGGTAATTCAATGGAAATTATTAAAGTGGCTCAGACTGTCTCACCCTGACACAACAGCTTTTCTCTGAACAGCATCAGACAATTTAGAGGAGGTGTAAGAACCCCACGAAGGCAGACACAGGATAATCTGCCCCTGGTAAATCCCTTGATCTCTATTAGAGATCAGCTTAAGCTCCAAAGCACGGGTTTCATATGCCATCCCAAGTTTTTGTTATCATTCATTTTGATAACTCTGGCTAATCCCATTACCCCACACAATTCCTGCTTGCCATGGTCACGTACCCACAGAGCAATCTTTGCCCTCTCCTGGTAAGGAGCTCTGTCCTCAACTGGATTGATGGAAAACAAGCCTGGCTGTTTTCTCCCCTCTGTACCCACCTCCAGCCTTCCCATCTCACCTCAGCAACTGGAGGGGTCGCAAGACCACAATGAAGTAGAAGGGTTCCATGTTAAATGCCAGTGCCATGAGCCCCAAAAATGCAAACAGTGTGACTGAGAAGTCAAAGCTGGAGAGAAAACAGAACAAACACCACAATAAAATAAGAGCAATGACTTATCACTAGTCAGCAGAGAAGAGGTATTTGGTGCTGCTCCAGCCTAACAAGATACACAAGGCCTGCTGATGGCCTCATCTACAGGCCTAAAACCTCCTCTCAGAAGTCAGTCTGTCTAACCCAACAATTTTGACCACCTCTCTCTCAAGAACATCAGTGCACACTTACAGATTCCAACCTGAGGACAGGTACTCAACAGGCCCCAGCCCAGTGGTCTTCAGGAGCAGCTCCACGCCATAGACTGTAAAAGAAGATGACAGCCATGGTCAGAAATGAGCAGCATCACAAGGAGGGCTTATGCAAAGGTTTGCCCTCACAGATGTGTGGTGCTTTAAGTACAGAACTTCTGAACATAGGTTTAAGAGACCCCCACCCATCTTCCTTATCCTCTGTGCGATGCCAACGAGACATTTTCCCTCCAAATCAACACATTTCCCTGTATTCATGGTGATTTCTCTCCAGAGCAGTCTACAAACCTGACATGCTATACATTGAGGCACAAGCTCCTGTAGGAAAGGCCAGAAAGTGGTGCAGGGAATTCAGTCCTGCCTGTTCATGTCCTATCTCAGTGGAACATATCGACATCCCTCAGCCTAGCCTTGACCTGCAGGGAGAGATGCTTTCAAAGACAAGCTGTTCTACTTTCACCTTCTGTCCTGGCAGCACCTTGTGGGCCTGTATGTTAAAGAACATCATAACAACATGATGATGTCCTGTTTGTCATGCCCAAATCTTTCTTTCCAGGTTCCAAGGAGGGCAGTGGGAGAGAAGTGAAGAGCTGGATGACAACATCCTTGTTAAAAGCAGCATTGCAGAGTGCCTCTGCCTTCAAACTTCCCTAACAAGTGTTTTGAAGACTAATGGCATGGAACTAGAGCTATCCTTTAGAGTAACCTCTCCTAGATTCTCCAAAGAACCTCCTTTTGCAGTTTTACATGCTATTTTCATTCAATGGAGCTATACTTTGCTTCTCTTCAAGCAAGAGACACTGGCAGGAGAAGGGAAGTGTATTCACATCACTGGAGAGTTCTACAGCAGTGCAATGAACCAGCACATGAAGATAAGCAATTGCTTGTACCATGTTCATGGCATGCAATCAAAAAACTCATCAATTAGTTCAACTAGTCCTTTCAGTGTTCTCCTCAGCCCCCTGCACTCTGCCCTCCAACAAGACTGCCCTTGCTTTGTGTGGCAGATGTGCAGCCAGACCACAGCTGGTAATGCTCCTGGGATAGCCAGGGCAGCACAAAGCAATGTGAGCAAGTCCACAGAGAGCCAGCCCAGCTCTGGAGGAGCTCATCACTCTGTACCCTGTGCCTAACAAATGAGGCTGAAGCCAGCTTGAAGAGCAAGAAAGCAACTTTTGCAGAGTTGCAGCAGAGGTAAGAGGCAGCGTGTTCACCTGGGTCTGTGTGGATGCTGACAATTCCTGCCACGCACAGCAGTGCTCTAGATGGAGTCTGTACACCTGTGGCTAAGTTTTAACTTCAAACTGAACATAGGAACAGAGCTGTCTATTCCCCTCCCAACTCCTTATGAAATGACATCCCCTCTCTTGGAACCATCAGCTTACTTGTGAGGAAGACTATGTAGCTCCATGGGACGTTTCTGGAGAAGAAATTCCCTCCTGCAAGACACAAGAAGAGGTTTTTCTAGCCTTCCCTGTTTTTTAATCCCCCAGCACCATAGTCAAGAAACAAGCTGTGATATTGCCTACCTTGCAGCATGAAGGTTTCAACAAGAATCCAAATTCCATTCACAGCCACTACAGTATCTGGAAAACAAAGTAAAAACTCACAGCAAAACCACTCCTGGGGAAGAGGACATACATTTCCTAGGCTAATAAAAAGAGTACAACACAGGACAAGTGGCAGGGTCATTGTTTCCAATTCAACACACTTAGAGACTCTCATATCCTGAGTGTTCCCAGGTCTTTAACAGATGTGGTGCCTTTATCTTCAGAAGGAAACAAAATTAAAAGAAACCAATGGTCTGAATTATGCTCTATCATTTTTACTCATAATTATCCTACCTTCTGGCATGTTATTACCTGTCTATTTCAGCTTCCTCCTAGTTCTGGAAGAAGGTCTCAAGGACCTTTGGGTCCCCAGCAATGCAGGACAAAGCCTTATTGGATCTATCGCTGCTCCCCAACATTCAAGTCTGGAGAACTGGAGGTGCAGGACTTCTCCTTTTCATTCAGATCTCCTCACTCCAACCAACCTCTTCAGTTTAGCATCCCAATTTACAAAAAAACTTCTCCAACATTCAAAAAACCTCCCAATTACTGAGTAGGAACAGATCTTTCAGAACACAGCAATGCTCTTCCAGAGAAGAGAAGCACAGAATCGTTCCTGCAGTTGCCAAGGGATCCCTCCACAATAAAAGATGCTCACACCTTCTCAAGTACAAAGAGAAGAAGGTGTTTGACTGACAAGGCAGTTCCTTACCCAGCATCCTTCAGCTGCAAGATAAAAACCTCAAGGCTTGTGAAAGATACCACCAACCTACCTCAGCCCAAGCAGCTGACTCAGACCCACAAGTGTGTTATAAAGCAGTGAACAAATGAACCTCCCTTCCAGGCTGCAGTAGGGGTTGGTACAAGCGTGAAGTTCCCTCCTTCTCTACCAAAACTGTACCTGAGTGATGGCTCAGAGCAAAAACCAGGCCCCACCACACTGAAGGCCTTGCAAGGGCTGGCAGGCACAGCATACCAGCCCCAAGGGAGCCTAGTAGAGACAGTTTGTTACTTCTACTTACACATTGTGTATTGGAACACATGGGACTTCACAAGGATGTTGATGCCTGCATGAAGGAAAGTAAGACAAAACACATGTTTATGTGATCCTCCATACCTCACACAGATTCTTCTATCATCTTCTTAGAGACATTTTTCATACCAATCCTCAGCATTGAAGCTACACAGATTAGCAGATTATTAACTTTTACTTCCTGGGACCAAGTTCTGATTTCCTCTAGAATGTCAGCAGCAATGAACTCATTATCCTTAACCCCCAAGATGCCTTTTCTTTCCGCTCTACGTCCTAGTTCTGTGGTGTGGACAGAGGTAAATGCAGCTGCTGAAGCACTGTCTGCGTTTGGAACACCTCACATGCTGTCAAGAAGGGTTGAGTGCATCAGCAGAGATATGTAGGACACCCAAGGCAGCTGTGTGTTTGGATCGCAGTGCTGTTAACTCTCTCCCACTAGCATGCAATGCTGAGAAAGAACTGCAGATAAGTTCTTACTTGTGAATAGCTACACTCGGCCAGGAAACGTGGGACATGAGAGATAAATCACATTATCAAGACAGATCACACTGATGGGTATTTCAGACCTCTTTCCCCTTCCTGAGCAGCTGCACTTATAGAGTGGTTTGGGTTGGAAGGGACCTTAAAGCTCATCCGGGTCCAACCCCAACGTGACCTGTATGAGCGCTGCAACCACATCTTGGGAGTAAGGAAGCCCAACAAGAGCCTTTGTGAAAACACAAATCCCACTCCACAGTCACTGCTCTGAGTTGCTGCCTGGGCTATGGAGAAGCTCTATAAACTACTGGATTTGGGAATCATAAATTGCCACCTAACTTCTGTGCTTAAAAAGGAATACAGCCCTCCATGACCTCAGGGTTTGCTTCTGCCAAGAAGTCTCTTATTTTAAGGAAGCCAGGGTCTGGGTCAGAGCACAGGGAACATTTACATGACAGAAACCTTCCTTGGAGACTGAATACACAGAGAGCAGGTCAGTAGGCCTTCATTCAGTGGTTTACCAGGGACATACAAGAAGGTCCCTTCAGAGGGCTCTGTCATTGTAAAGAAATGCTCTTCCTGTTAGCCGAACATACGCTCTCATGGAAGCACAGCCTGTTACCTTTAAAAATAAGGAATGCTGTCCTTGGAAGATCATCAAACCAGTGCTCCCGATTTCGTTTTGCCTGGAATCAGAACAGCCACAATCAGAAGTCAGTGCTACATCCATACAGAAACGTGCAGTGATGGACACCCACCTTATCCCTGTCATCTGCTGCTTTTAGATTGCCTTGCTTTCCTACCCACCTTCTCTTTAATCACTGGCCTCCTTTGCTCTCCCTCCCACACACACTTCCCTTCTTTTCCACCCATTAAATACTCACCTTCCATTTTAAGCCAACAACTTCATAGAAATTGTAAAAATCCTTCAGACTGCAAAACAGAAAGAAGCATCTGATCAGAGCCTTGGAGCTGGTTAGATCCTTAACTGTCCTTGGCAGGCAGCAGCAGCAGCAGAGAGTCCCTGGAAGTTATTAACTCCTTATTAGAGCTGAACCACACTGATAGAACTCAACACTGAGCTCTTCCCAGCCTGGCCAAGGGTTACTGACTGACAATAGCCACAACAGGGTGCAAAGCCCACCTTTGTTCTGTAATGCTACAACTCTTAGAGGAAACTCTCACTCCACTCAACTCCAAAATTCTGCCACTGAGAGGGAAGTCCTGAGGCTTAGACAGCAAACTGCATGAGATAGAGCTTGTACTGTTCTTTGTGAAGAAGTCTTGGACTGTCTCAATGCCCCGTACAGTCCTTTTCTAACGTCTTTGCACATTTTCTTTTCAAGGTAACAGTGATATTTGAACAAGGACATGAAAGCAAAGAAACTCATAAAACATGAATGCCTGTCTAGGTGCTTAGGGTCAGGCCTGTAACAGCTTTTAGCTGTCTGAAAGTGAGGATGCTGAACTTCCCAGACTTTTACTGGTGTCCTTAGGTGCCTAAATTTAAGAACTCAGTTTTTCTCCCTGTGCCCTTTTCAATACTTCTCTGTGGCACTTGATTTTAAGAAGCATCAGCACCAGTTTCATGGGAGGCTCACTCAGAGCCTACCTGTGGCCAAGACAAAGGATAAGGCAGAGAAGGTCTCCTGCTCTATTTCCCTCTACTTCCATGCTGGCTGGAGTTAGTTGCACCCATCCACCCACCAGAATGGTAATTCTCTGCCTCATAACACAGAGGATGACAGTCCTGAAAGCACCAGCAGAACCGGATTTTAATTAACAAAGCCTTAGGGGGCACAGCCAGCTGCTGGTAAAACACAGAAACTTGTTAAGCTGCGAGGCTGCACGGTGTGAAGAAATGCTCCTTGTAGGCTCTAATCCTGTTCCTCAGTTCCTTGCTCCTCTGCTCTGGCAGGGGAGGTGGGAAACAGGCTGCCTGGTGACTGCCAGCAGAGCGCTGCATCCACAAGAGGGCACGCAGGAACTCCATTGCCTCCAAAGGAAAAGCTCAGCTCTCAGGGCACCCACCCCTCCAAGCTGCTTTCCAGGCAAAGCCTTTCAATCATTTAACTCTATTCCCACATCTCAATGTTCATTCCATAAACCCAGCCATCCTCTCCAAAGTAAAGCAATCTCCCTGCTCTGGGTGCAGCCATAAGACCCCATCCTACCTGACTAAAGGAGTATTGCTTTGATTCAGTGCTTTGAATGTGAGATATCGCTCTCTGGCACACATCCGAGGCTTGTAAAACCGCAACAGCCCTTCAAAGTGCTTGAAGGAAATTCCAGACGGCCTCTGGAAACAAAGGAATGTTGTCAGAAGCAGCAACATCAGGCAGAAGCACACAGAGGCTAACAGATTTCATTCTCACTCTGGATTTGGTTTAGGCAGGATTTCTACATCGCTGTAAGATGCCATTATAACTAAGCCCCAGAAGTACCCTAAGCTATTACTTCAACATGCTGAGCTAATCCCAGAGCACAGAGACCAGGATCTCTCTCCTGGCAATCAGTCCCCCCCCAGCAAATGCAGAACTCTTCCCTATTGCCCTATCATGTGAAAATTGTCTAACCAGACACCTCAAGCAACAGAGTTCAACCCCTCTTCTTGGGAAATTAGTAGGCAGCCTAATAGATCTCTTTACTGGCACTTCTATCAGCTATGTGCCCTAAACATGAACTAATCTACTAGAAGTGGGTTAGTTATTTTTGGGCCTTGTTTCTCTTGCTGTTCCACAGTTAAGCAAGAAATCAACCCTCTCCCCAAGTGCTCTGTCCTCATAAAGAGCTGTTTGTAGGTGCGTTAGTTCTGTTTCTGAACCATTTACTCATGCAGTATCCAGCATCTGTACCAGTTCTTCACTGGTATGACCCACCCCTCCTCTCAGTACTGATGCTTGAGAGGCTAGTCAAGTGACCCACACTGAATCAGAGAGAAATCAACGACTGCATGCACTCCAGAACAGATTTCACTCATTTTATCAAGACACTTCCATGATCTCACACTGAATTTCAGACTACTTTGGCTTTCCTCCAGAAACAGATACAGACAAGTTACATGAATGAAAAAACCTAGTAGCCCTTGGTATGATCACAGCCAACAGACCTCAGTTATCTTTTTTAGAACATGCTTTTTAAACTCTCCAGACCACTGGTGGTGTTAGAACACTGTTGACCTCCCCTCCTGCTGCACCCCAGTGCCTGCAGAGCCCTGTACCTGCTTGGTGATCAGCAAGCGGTACGCGTGCTGTATGGCCGTGCGCTTGTGCAGCAGCAAGGACTTGAACTTCCTCTTCTCAATGTCATTGAAGGTGTCAAACACAACAGCAAGAAGCTGCAGAGAGAAGACAACAGAGAAAGTCATGTTTTGATCTTTATAGTCTGCAGCTACCTGAGGCAGTGCTGTTTCAAAGAGGCAGCATCCAGCCTAGAGAGGCAATGAGGGGCATTGCCTGCAGGAGGCATAAACTACACCGACTGAGGCAAGTGGAGTCAGTGAGGGCCTGTTGGCCATAAGGGATCCCATAAAGGGACCTCCGAGCACACTGCACACACACTGATCCACTTTTTGGAAGAGATCCAGATGTTCCTGGCCTCCCAACACTTGCTAGTGGCTAAACCTCACACATGCCAACGGAACAGTATTAAAAGGTTTGGTAAAATGCCATGATTTCTTCCTGGAAAACAGGTTTTGAGGGCCCTCTCTGGACTCACCCTTCTTTGGCAAACCCACGTCAAAGCTAATGCTCCATCTAGGACAGGAGCAGTGAAAACCAAGCATCAAACCACTCACTTTGGGTTGCAGAATTCCTCAGCTCCTTTGGCAAGCCCATTTCCAACCACTCACATCCTGCCCTGAGCTGGTCCTGGCCCTCCCCTAGATGCTGCAAGAAGCAGAGCCAGGACAGCAGCCATGCTCTCACATTGCAGTTGTCAGCACTCTTCAAGTCCTGCCATCCTTAGTAATTCCATCCCCTTCAAACTGATTTAGAAAGTATTTCAGGCAAGGCCAGAACATAAAATGCCATTTTATGATAAATAATTAAGCAAGAAAAGGACAATAAATTTCATGCAACCCTCTATGTCACTCCAAGCATGATATTAATGTGAGAGAAGCTGAAAGATACCCGTATCATTTTGGTTTGTGTGATTTAGTTCAATTCCTTGTGGTTAAGCATTAAGAGAGTCCTGTCTGTAGCAAAGCTGCCACTTTGGCAGAAGGATTCTGCCACAGGGTCTCAGGTTATTACAGAGGACTCCTGGCAATGGGGCAGCCTCTGCTGGGTAATGAGCTCTGAAGTCAGGCAGAGAGAATTCACGTGCTTCATCAGGGGACTCACCAAGTTCATGATGAAGTAGAGCTCAATGGAGAGATACACTATGAAGAAGACACAGGACCAGGGGTTCCGGGCGTAAGATGGCATCATCACATCAGGGAAACTGCATCCAAAATAGACACAAATGTAAGCACCAAATAGCTCATGCTACACATCCCACTACAAAGGCAGGAGGCACAGGGGTGTGTGTAATCTCACAGCCAAAGAGCTGCACGTTTCTGCCTAACAGGGCTGCTCATGGCACAGAGGTTTGTGCCTAGCAACGAGCAGCAGGAACATGGAAGCACAGTGAAAAACATCAATATGAAAAGCACATTCCTTGCACATCCCAAAAAACAAATGGGCAAAAGGGGTTTGTAACGGGGCTAAGGGCTGTGCTTTGACATTTAGCAACAACAGCAACACACCCTCGGTGTGAGAGGGTTACAACCTAAGATTTATTCCATCCTTGGCTAATTTCCTAACCCTCAGAGCTCTCCTTCACAGCGGATCAATATTTAGCCACTGGTGTTATCCCCCTTTCCTAGTAGATAGGAGAACTGAAGCAGAGGAATAGGAAGTTACTTCACAACAGCAAACTGTTGGCTGACAAAGGAACACAAAGAGAAACTTTCCCCTCTTGGTCCAAGGCCTACTAAGGGTGTTTCCCCCCTTATTGCCCTCACAGCGATGAAGTGGGCTGAGCTGCTTAGAGATAACTCCGCATCTGAGGTCACAGCATCCTAAGCCAAAATGAAATATCAGCTCTTCCCATGCAGGCTGACCCAGGAAATCTCCCTCTCATGCAGAGGAAAAGAGATGGAGCATTTCTGCAAATAAACTGACAGCTCTGCTAGATTTCCTTAAGGACGAAGTGAAATACTGAGCTAGAAAAGCCTGAACTTACTTTGAAGTGGTCAAAAGCACGAAGAGATTCACAAGGCTGTTCTCTAAGGTATTGAAGTACTGAAAGAAAACACTCTCATGACCAAATGCAAGCAGAATTTCATAGTGACATTTCATTCACAGAACAAACAACCCACCACCCCACTTGAATACAGGCAGCTCTGATGCCTCC